ATGTCCTGCTTCTACACATCTTTATACCGTAGTAGAGGTCGGCCTGGACATCTTCTACCTGTCTTTAATTCACCATAAAGAATGTCCTTAGGGACTCTGCCATCCTCCATTCTTCAGATATGATCCAGCCACCTGAGCCTTCGTAGACTGAGCATGGAAAAGACTATTGTACTACCTGCTCTTTCCAGTACCTCAGTGTTTGTGATTTTGTCACGAAGATATTAAAAGACAAGTGTGGTACCAGAAAGACGGGCAAAGGCAAGAAAAAGGGTACCGCTTGGTGGAATGAAGAAGTCAAAGAAGCAGTGTCAAATAAAAAGAAGATGTTTCAAATATGGTTAAAAACAAAAGACGAAAAGGATTACATTAGGTACAGACTAACTCGAAGAGACACCAAGAGAACAATAAAGAAATCCAAAGAGGAATCATGGAAAAAGTATGGTGAACACCTAACACAGCTATGTACAGAATCACCAAGAGACTTTTATAAGAGTGTGAAAGCGATGCGATTAAGAGAAGAAAGCTTCAATCCAACATAGGTCATAAACGATAAAAATGGAAAACCATTATTCAGCCAAAAAGAAATTAAAAAAAGATGGGAGGAATATTTTAAAGAACTTTTGAACCCGTCGGGAGTACATGAAACAGCAGAATTCCATTCAAGGGCTCCAGATCATCTAGAACCACATATCCTGCGGGATGAAGTAGAGAAAGTTATCAAAACAAGTAAAAGACACAAAGCAGCTGGTATTGACGGAATAACAACAGAAGTCATCCAGGCTGGAGGGGACACTATGATCACCTGGCTGGAGAGAATTTTCAATAGAGCATGGGCAGAGAGAAAGGTACCAGTGGATTGGCAAAGATCAGTTGTAGTACCTATCTGGAAGAAAAAAAGGAAACAAGAGAGAATGTGGAACTTATAGAGGAATATCTTTACTAAGTCATGTGGGGAAAATGTATGCAAAGATCTTAGAAGGTAGGATAAGAGCAAAGGTTGAACCTCTACTGAGTAAAGCACAATTCGGTTTCAGGAAAGGGCGAGGTTGCACTGATGCCATATTTGCACTAAGACAAGCCTGTGAAAAGACACTCGAATACGATAAAGAGCTGAACGTGGTCTTTGTAGATCAAGAGAAGGCATTCGACCGTGTAGACAGAGATGTGCTGTGGAGAATTCTTGACGATTACGGAGTGCAGGGTCAATTATTAGACAACATCAGAGCCCTCTATGAAAAAAGTGAAAGTGCAGTAAGAACATCTAGTGGTCTTTCTGAATGGTTCAAAGTCACAACTGGTGTCAGACAAGGATGTGTACTGTCACCATTACTTTTCATAACATACATGGATAAGATCACTGTAGAAGCAAACCCAGACGTGTATGCTATAAACGAATTACTTTTTGCTGATGATCAAAGCATACTGTATCAAAATGAATATGATCTACAGGAACATCTGACTACTCTCAACAACAGCTGTTTACAACATAATATGAGAATCAGTACAGAAAAAAACAGAAGTTATGAAGATCAGCAGAACACACAGGCCACTGAATATAAATGTTGGAAGTGCCAAAATCAAGCAAACCAAAGAGTTCAAATACTTGGGCAGTATATTTACAGAGGATGGAGGAATGGACAGAGAGATAGAAACAAGAATACAGAAAGCAAATGCTGTCACATACCAACTATCACCTCTGCTTAAACATCCAGATATAACCATGAAGACCAAAAGACAATTGATAAACACCATCTTCATTCCAACACTCTGCTACCAGTGCCAAACATGGACAATCAACAAGACCCATGAAAGAAAAATAGAAGCCTGTGAAATGAAATGTCTAAGAAAAGCAGCGAACAAGACCAGACTAGACAGGATAAAGAATATAGACATTAGAAACATTGTCAAAACTACGCCATGTTTAGACTACATAGAACATCAAAGAATTAAATGGTTTGGACATCTAACCAGGATGAAAAATGATCAAATAACATCACAAATTTTCAACCAAAGAAGCTCAGGATATAAGGCAAGAGGAAGACCAAGGAAACTGTAGATTGACGGGGTCTCCGAAACCTGCCAAAAGCATGGCCTCAGAACATCAGATGCTGCCCGCCTTGCTTATGACAGGAACTTGCATCTCCCCACAACGCTTAGCGGCATACGTGGAAGGAAAAAGTAAATTCTTGGCATGTGAAAGCTATTTAGCCGTCTCTCCTGGTGCAAATAGGTTGACCAAGTTTCACTGCCGCAGAGCAGAGTGCTAAGAACACAAGCCTAAAAGACAAGGAGTGTTCTTTTAATTGTGAGCTTTCTGTTCTCCCAAACTTTCTTTGTCAATCCGCTCATTATTGTTGCTGCCTTACTTATCCTGACGTTAATTTCTTGGTCCAGCCATAATGTGCTATTCACTGACTGACTGACTAACTATTAACAAACGTTGTGTAGTTATTTTGTTCCATTATTTAATCCACAGCGGATTCCAGCAATGTTAAAAGGGGTAAGTCTCCTAATATATTTATTTATTCAGTTATGTTTTGGGTAGGGAATTGAGTTAACTTGTTGATAATAAAATTATAGGCCCAATTAAATGTGTGAATGCAGTTAACTAATTCCAATACACAGAGTTCAGGTTAGTCGCATGTCGCTGTGTGTTGATTTTGACAATAGTATGCGCGCTGACTGTCTAGGCAACAATAGAAAACGCTCGGAACGTAAAAGGGTAAAACGCAACAAGCAACACATTCTGGAGTTGGTTTGCGACTTCGGAACTAGGATATGCCGTGTGGAGATGGTAGTCATGTCTAGCCACCAACTCCTGAATCGTATAGGATTGTTTTGTTGCACACGTAAAAAAAAAAAAAAAATCCTTTGGCAGTCGGAAATCGAAAAGAGTAGCATAACGGCCCTGCCCGGCCAAAATGTGGAGTTAAAAAATCTACCCAAAGTATTTCAGGATCCTCGCCGATGCAACAGAGTTCGTGCACTGCTCTGAGATTCGTCAGACTCAGGCTGAGTTAGAAGAAGAACGGAGCGCTTATGGGTTACACCCGTGTGCCATGATGTTGTTCCGTTGAACAAACAAACAAACAAACAAACAAACATTGTTTACTTTCAGTCGTAGTTTCGCCTATCCACATGTTTCTGCCCGTATATTTTCTATCGTATTTATGTCTGTTCACATCCTTCTCTTTTACGTACTTTCAGTACCTTCCGTCTCCTGTACTGTCAATTACCTTTGACACAGATGATCCTCCATGCCATGATGTCAAACTGTCCACCATCTTCTCTCTCTCTCTCTCTCTCTCTCTCTCTCTCTCTCTCTCTCTCTCTCTCTCTCTCTCTCTCTCTCTCTCTCTCTCTCTCTCTCTCTCTCTCTCCAGCTCTCCTCTCCTTCAGCTTTCTCGCCGTTGCGATTTCCTTTTTTTTTTTCTTTCTCATCACCTGACCAAAGAACGTAGATGGTCGTATTCTGATGTGAGCAGTCAGTTCTCTTCCCTTAAGTGAATTTTATTTTACAAGACATCCTAATTTTTTATTCAAAGAGTTAAACTATGATATGCAACCTAATTAACATGCCTTGTTGTGGAAAGCATTACTAATAGCTGAAAGGAAATCATTTGACAGTTTCTGAGGTAACTGCTGTCGTTTTTTTTATATAGTCCTAGCCGTAAGGTAGGTAATTAAGTCATGGCCACAACCTTCTTCTGTCTGGTGTACTATTAGCTATTTCTGATACATATATTCTGCCATACTATGCTAACAAACTGTCCAGCCCCTTTTGTCTTGGTCTCCATCTGCCTCTACCCATGACCTTTGTATCGGCCTCAGCACACGAAAACATAGATCATGCCACTTAGTATTCGCAAAAAAACGCTGTTCGTGTGAATATCTACGACAAACGTAGTGCATGTGATTGAGTATCCACAACAAATCTTGTTCGTGTGAATAAGTATCAATGACAAACATAGTTCATGTGATTATCCACAACAAACCTAGTTCGTGTGATTAAGTATCCACGACAAACTTAGTTCATGTTATCATCCACAACAAACCTAGTTCGTGTGATTAAGTATCCCCGACAAACATAGTTCATGTGATTATCCACGAAAAACCTAGTTCGTGTGATTAAGTATCCACGACAAACATAGTTCATTTGATTATCCACAACAAACCTAGTTCGTGTGATTAAGTGTTCACGACAGACATAGTTTATGTGATTATCCACAACAACTAGTTCGTGTGATTAAGTGTTCACGACAGACATAGTTTATGTGATTATCCACAACAAACCTAGTTCGTGTGATTAAGTATCCACGACAAACATAGTTCATGTGATTATTCACAACAGACCTAGTTCGTGTGATTAAGTATCCACGACAAACATAGTTCATGTGATTATCCACAACAAACCTAGTTCGTGTGATTAAGTGTTCATGACAAACATAGTTTATGTGATTATCCACAACAAACCTAGTTCGTGTGATTAAGTATCCACGACAAACATAGTTCATGTAATTATCCACAACAAACCTAGTTCGAATGATTAAGTATCCACAACAAACTTAGTTCATGTGGTTATCTACAACAAACCTAGTTCGTGTGATTAAGTATCCACGACAAACATAGTTCATGTGATTATCCACGACAAACCTAGTTCGTGTGATTAGGTATTCACGATAAACATAGTTCATTTGATTATCCACAACAAACCTAGTTCGTGTGATTAAGTGTTCACGACAAACATAGTTTATGTGATTATCCACAACAAACATAGTTCGTGTGATTATGTATCCACGGCAAACATAGTTCATGTGATTATCCACAACTAACCTAGTTCGTGTGATTAAGTATCCACGACAAACAAAGTTCATGTGATTATCCACAAAAAACCTAGTTCGTGTGATTAAGTGTTCATGACAAACATAGTTTATGTGATTATCCACAACAAGCCTAGTTCGTGTGATTAAGTATCCACGACAAACATAGGTAATGTAATTATCCACAACAAACCTAGTTCGTATGATTAAGTATCCACAACAAACTTAGTTCATGTGATTAAGTATCCACGACAAACATAGTTCATATGATTATCCACAATAAACCTGGCTCTTGTAACCAAATGTCCGCAACAAATGTAGCGCATGAGACTGAAATGAAAAAAAAAAAAAAAAAAACATAGTTCATGATACTTAGGATCCACAAAAAGGCAATTCATTTGATTGTATAACCACAACTAATGTAGTTCGTGCGACTGAGTATCCACAATAAATATACTCCGTGTGATTAAGTATCCACAATAAAACTAGTTCCCGTTAATTTGCTTTTCACGACATACATAGTTTATGAGATTGATTATGAACAACATAATTAGTTCATGTGGTGAGTATCCACAGAAAACCCAGCTCACGTTATTGAGTTACTGAGTATCCACAACCAATCCGGTTAACTTGACTGAATATCCGCAATAAATGTAGCTCATGTAATTTACCTACTATCCACACGAAACCAAGTTTACATGATTGTGTATCAATATCCAGACTAGTCCATTTAATTGAGTATCGACAGCACACATAGTTCATGCGATGAAATATTCAGAACAAAAATAATTCGTGAAACTGAGTATTCTAGTTGATGTAAGTAGAGTAAAGGAACCTCTTCCACGCACTCAGGTGTATTGGGTATACGACTAGGCCTGTATTTTACAGACCAAACGGTTCTGGGTTGTTAAGGTGTTCAGAATCACGCCATTCGCTTTTACTTCCCATGACTCTACCTGGTCCGCACCCCAGGCTGGGTCGACTTGGGAGCCAAGGTTAATTTTTTTTTTAAAGTCTGACCCCCTCAGGACCCGAAATGCTAGTTGATGTGATTTAGTACATTACTAAAATTAAGTATATTTAGATGTCATCCACCAGGAAATATGGAACGACACATTTACAAACCTTATACCAGTCTTGAAGATATTACACTTCTTCTTCTTCACCTTCAGCATACCGAGCCCTTGAGGTTCATTGTTGCATTTATCACCCGCCTTCTCTTTCCAGTTCGTGACACCAAGTGTTTGTAAGTCTGTCTGGAGTTTATAGCTCCATCGTTTTCTTGGTCTGCCTGGTGGTCTACGACCATTCAGCTCCCTTGGGTAAACAGTTTTTAGCTCTCTGTCATTTGACATTCTCTCAATATGCCCAAGCCATTTCAGTCTGTTAGATCTCATGATACCAGTGATCAATAGTGATTTAAACAGATTATGAATTTCTTTGTTGCTTCTCACTCTCCATTCCTCGCTGTTTGCATTTTTGATGAGTCCAAAGATTCGTCGTAATACTCTGTTTTCGAAAAATTAAGTTTTACTCCAAGTTTCAGAGCCATTTAGAACAATTGGTAAGATATTACAGTTACATGAAATTAATTTATGATTGATTAATTTCTAATGTTTCCTATCCAGGTAATCCAAGTTCCGTGTCTGCAGTGCCCCGACCTCAGTGCCTTCTTGTTGCCTCTGTTCTCATAGCAACTGTTGTCCGTATTTATCTTCAACCGAATTTATCAAATCACTGACAATGTTGTCAATAATATCATGTACAGTAAAGGTATTTTTGAGTTCGCACAAATCATATTGTCATATGTTAATTAGTTACTTTAGTCCGTCTAGGAACTGCCACAACTGTTTTACTAATCATTACTATTGCCAAGCATTTTACCATTACCAAGTAATTCCCCATGCGTTTGTTGGGTTCTATATGGTTTCCATAAGTCCCTCTGCAGTGGACTTTTTTTTTTTAAATAATCGGGTAGCGTGTCATGAGAGCGTCATGAAAGTTATGTTTTCATCATCATTATCATCACCATCACCAGCTTCCGTTTCTGTCGTTAAGTGTCATGGGGAGGAGCAGTTTGCGATCCATTACTGTTGGACAGCAATGACTATTTGTCATTCATGTCCATATAGAGGCTCTATATTGTGATCAATCCATATCCTCCTAGGGCCGCCTGTTGCTTATCTTTTCATGGGCGTCACCTTCCATGATGACATCAGGTAATGTTACTTCTGGTGATTGATGTTCTGGTGATTCATCAGCATTTCCTGATGACCGACCAGCACTCGTTTTTTTTTTTTTTTTTACTTCTAAAGAAGTTATCCAGCGTTGTTTGTTTTGTTCTTTTGCGATTTTATTGCTATTTTCCGGAAGTGTCCAAACAATTGTCATCACATGAATTGATTGATACTCTTTATTAACTACAATAGCAATTTTTGAGTCATCATCATCATCATGTGCCATGTCAACTGACGTAGGCGCTTATGCGTATCCACAGATCACGATCACTGGATGCCTGGAACAGCTCTCTTGATGATATCCCTCAATGCCATCGTTTCAGCACATCCAGCATCACCCTCTTGGCCTGCCTCTACCCCTTTTTTCATCGATCTTTTCAGTTGTCACGATGTTCTCCAATGTCTCTCTTCTCATTATGTGGCTAAAGAACAGTGTTTGTCTG